AAAGCTTTTTGTTCCTTAAGCTCTTTTCTGAAGAAATTATTATGCTCAAATTGCAAATTCATAAAGCTTCTAATATTTGATTCAATCTCTTCCAACCTTATAAGAAGGTGGTCGGTACTCTTAGGCAAAGCCATAAGGACCAACAGGCACACAAGAAAACAAAAAAAAGCAAGCAGAAAGAGAAGAGATAAAGATTGGGAAAGAGAGGGCAAATAAAACGGCAAGGGTGAAGTGGGGGAGAGGCAAATGGCAAATAATGCAAATGCGAGGGAGATAAGTTTGTGATGGGTAGTTGGTATGTCTTGACTTGAGCGAAGACCTCCCCGACAACGGCGCCAGAAATCCTTCTTGCTACGTCTTGAGCTTGCGTTGGTTTTCCTTGAAGAGGAAAGGGTGATGCAGCAATAGTAGCATAAGTATTTCCGTCAGTTTTTGAGAACCAAGGTATCAATCCAGTAGGAGGCTCCTCAAAAGTCCCACGCACCTACACAAACAAACAAAGAACTCGCAACCAACGCAATAAAGGGGTTGTCAATCCCTTCACGACCACTTGCGAAAGTGAGATCTGATAGAGATAATATGATAAGATCAATACATTTTTGGTATTTTATAATATAGATGCGAAAAGTAAAGATGCAAATAAAAGTAGATTGAAAGCTTATATGATAAAAGATAGACCCGGGGGCCATAGGTTTCACTAGTGGCTTCTCTCAAGATAGCATAAGTATTACGGTGGGTGAACAAATTACTGTCAAGCAATTGATAGAAAAGTGAATAATTATGAGATTATCTAGGCATGATCATGTATATAGACATCACGTTCCGTGACAAGTAGACCGACTCCTGCCTGCATCTATTACTATTACTCCACACATCGACCGACTCCTGCATGCATCTAGAGTATTAAGTTCATAAAGAACAGAGTAACGCATTAAGAAAGATGACATGATGTAGAGGGATAAACTCATACAATATGATATAGACCCCATCTTTTTATCCTCGATGGCAACAATACAATACGTGCCTTGCTGCCCCTGCTGTCACTGGGAAAGGACACCGCAAGATTGAACCCAAAGCTAAGCATTTCTCCCATGGCAAGAAAGATCAATCTAGTAGGCCAAACCAACTGATAATTCGAAGAGACTTGCAAAGATAACTCAATCATACATAAAAGAATTCAGAGGAAATTCAAATATTTCTCATAGATAAACTTGATCATAAACCCACAATTCATCGGATCTCGACAAACACACCGCAAAAAGAGTTCACATCGAATAGATCTCCACAAGAGAGGGGGAGAACATTGTATTGATATCCAAAAAGAGAGAAGAAACCATCTAGCTAATAACTATGGACCCGAAGGTCTGTGGTAAACTACTCACAACTCATCGGAGGGGCTATGGTGTTGCTGTAGAAGCCCTCCATGGTCGATTACCCCTCCGGCGGAGCGCCGGCGAAGGCTCCAAGATGGGATCTCGCGGATACAGAAGGTTACGGTGGTGGAAATTGTCTTTCGGGGTACGTAGGCATATATAGGAGGAAGAAGTACGTTAGTGGCCACCTATGGGGCCCAGGAGATAGGGGGCACGCCCAGAGGGGGTGGGCGCGCCCTCCTGTCTCCTGGCCGCCTCGCAAGCTTCTTGACTTGCACTCTAAGTTCTCCGGATCACATTCATTCCAAAAATCACGCTCCCGAAGGTTTCATTCCGTTTGGACTCCGTTTGATATTCCTTTTCTTCGAAATACTGAAATAGGCAAAAAGCAGCAATACGGGCTGGGCCTCCGGTTAGTAGGTTAGTCCCAAAAATGATATAAATGTGTAAAATAAAGCCCATATACATCCAAAAGGGGTAATATAATAGCATGGAACAATCAAAAATTATAGATACGTTGGAGACGTATCAATCATGCGGAAGTGGCATCGGCGGTTCTTGACGAGCATGCTGACGGCCTCCCGCCACTGATGTTGCGCGTCCTCCAATGGATTCTTCGCTAGCATCTCGAAAGTCTTTAGGAAATCCATGGATTTTGTGCGTAGGCAAGACATGATTGATGATTGATTAATCCAACTGATCGATCAACTCTCCGTTCGTCTCTTCATCCTACTTCTCTGTCCTCCTTCCGAGTCGAGCCTAGTAATCGTTTGAATGAAGTCTTTTTTCCATGTTATCCTGTGTTACCCGGATGTAGGCCTCCATCGATGCGCTTGGCATGCCACGCATAGTGGATCGGCCCATGTATGTTTGATAAATATAGCCTTGTTTGTTTTTGGTAGGTTGTTCAATGACTCAGGTATTTCTTCTTCAAATAATTGTGAAACTAATGAAAAAACGACTTGCTACTTTCCTGCCCATCGAGAAGACTAAGAATCATGATGATTTTTGTTTGCCATTGACACGTGGACACACCCAGAGGTGCTTTTATAGTAGTAATATTGCAAAACCTTAGTGTTGTGTTGGTTATGATAGTACGCTACCTTACCATGAGGGAGATTTTTTAATCTTGTTTCTAAAGAGAAATGATCAGTTTGCGCTAAGAGATGGTGAGATCCTAATGCTAAATGTATATTTCATAATTAAAAAAATAAATATAATTTATAATAAACTTTTGTACTTTATTACAATTTATTCTAGTGTGGTATAATATAAGTGGATATATTTCTTTTTACTTAGTTAGCTTTGTTTGTTCCATAAAAAAAGTTAGCTTATTTTGACTATTGTTAATTAGTTACCTTAGTTAACCACATGACAATAATGGTAAATATTAAATATAATGCTATTTGTAATTACACTATTTTTTGCAATTTGTAGACACTTTCCTTAACAAGTCTTGAAACCAAATCCCTTTGAAGCGTTGTTTCTTTAAAATGACAAAATTGCATGTCTTTTAACAAGACCTTGAAACCAACTCCTTAAATACAAAATTGGAAAAAAGGCAATTCCAAACTTATTTGAAATAGTTTTTAAAAAAACCTAGCATATTTTTTTACGTGTGCGTTTGTGTGTTCTTATGTGTTTTAATATCCTTCTAGATTGTTTGGTTATAAACATTCTAAAGTACATTGCTTAACAAATATCTCGATGATGGTTTCTAATCTATATTTACTATATCGTGTACAAATAACTTGAAATATTAGTTGCATAGACAGTTTTATCTAATGGTGGAGAAGTGTAAAATCCTAGTGTCCTCGACCGTTAGATTTACTTCTCATCTTGACTGGATCTTGTCATGTGGCATCTCAAGAATATTCTACAAACTAGCTTAGCTATTTGGTCCATGATTCTCTAGAACAATCCTCTTAGAGCATAGCAACATGGCACATGCATTTTGTGTTCTTGTGTAGGGATGCAAGCGAGGCGAGCTACCAGGCAACGCCATAATACAAATGAAGTGTCAATTTTAAGTAACCATGAACAAATATTAAACTAATGGATTAGTTTCACGGGACGAAGAAGGTCGTAGCTTGCACCATACTCTCGTGTGCCGAGACAAACTCCCCGCCTACACATTGCCATGGTCAGTCATCACAAAACCTCCCCAAGCAAAGTTTCCTCCGCCACCTAGCTCTGTGTGGTCCAATATAAGTGTCGACCAAGACACAAAACTATGACATATATAGCTTATTGCGCAAAATATGTGACACCAAACTTCAAACTTCAACTTTGCCATTTCTATAGAAACATATGTACATAATAGTAGGATGTGTGGCATGCTAAATATCCAACTATCATTACCTGGAGTGAAAACAATCACTAAATATTAATATTATTTAAGGCAAAAGCTGAATATGTATTTTATCCAGGATGTACATATGCCCATTTTCTATACAAATTTGTATACGACATAAAGAACACCGACAATTTTTTTCATAGTACAATCTTGTTTTGCCCTCCAATCACCCCAAGAGCCATTTTGCTAGTCCTAAAGGTGTTTCTCCTCATTACAAAGGTAATAGACACTGAGGTGCTTTGCGTATTGTGTTTAAACTCGCAAACTATTCTTTACAATTTTGTTAACATCAGTTCAAGATGAATTCGTTTAGTCCCTTTTGCATTTTATTTCCTTGCCAATAGTTTGCTGAAACAAGTGACAAATTATGATACAATATGGCTATGTAAATATAATTACAAAAGTCAAGATTCACAAACTTTGATCAAATTTATAGAGAAAGTCATCTATATAATGCCAAATCAAGGTTCACATTGTGGACAAGTACTCTGCCTAACATGTTCCTAATGTTGATGACGATTAAGTTGGGACATTTTTAATGTCAAAGCAACCGGTTAAAACTAACGAGATAACGTTGGTTCCTTATGCTTAATTGTTGCAACTATGAACACACCCTTATTTATGATGGGATACTTTGCAAATGTATGCTAAATCTGAAATTAGACCACTGGAAAGCCACCACAAAGTATTAGTATGTGCATGTTTTAATATAATTTTATGCCCACTAATAAGGAGCATGATAAGCTCAAATTTGTGGGTTATTCGGGTATTATTTGTGAGGTGTGCGGATATTGAAATTTTCACGTCATGTAAATCTCCACCATCGCACAAAGCACCAAAAATGACACTCACAGCATCATTAGTGATATAACCTTGTTTGTGACATGTTACGAGACTACCGCAAGGGTTGTACTCCCTCCGTCTCAAAATAAGTGTCACAAGCTTAGTATAACTTTGTACTAGAGCCGGTACAAAGTCGAGGCACTTATTTTGGGACGGAGGGAGTATGTCAGAAGAAATTTTATTTTTAAAATAAGAAATGGTAGACAATATCCCTAAGCCACTCACCGCCTCTATGCGAGCAACAAATCAGTTAGTGTTCCCAAAAACCATTTGCACTATGTTTCATATTGTGAAAACAGAGCCCAATAAAAAAAAGTTGTTTGATATATGTAATTCATGTCACATGCACTTGTATAACCAAGCTATATGTTGAAAACACCGGCAAAGTACGCAAACAGACAGACGGTGGAAACATCGTTCGACGACCATCACGGCCACGGGTCACCCTTGGCGAGGCAGGATGCCGGGACGACTACTCCGACGGCCTTGCCTGATGCCTTGTAGCAAGAGGCCGTCGCCGCGCCCCCGCCCACCATGGTGAGGTTGACGTTCCTCAGCTCCAGCTCCCGGCACGGCACGGTGTCGCTGCACGCGATCTTGATCGCCTGCGTCATCGCCGACGTGCCCCTCACGTCCACGAACTCCACCTTGCACACCTCCACGGCCTCCGTCTGCACACGCACACAAGTTCAATTCACGCTTCATTACTCTGCATCATACTACGATTCAGAGACGAGACGGCGAAGCCTACCTGGTTCGCGCAGGGCATCGGCTGGTCGCAGTAGTACTGGTCGATGATGATGGGGTTGGACACGTTCTTCATCACGATGCTCTCGAACCTCAGCTCGCGAGCGGGAGCCCATGCCCCCCTAAGCAACACAAGTTGGTTGCAATGAGAGTGTTTTTACTATTTCTGTAACAATAATGTTCTTGTCTTTTTAAAACGGAAATATTAACGCCCACACGTGTGGGCGTTTGCACATCGCCCACACGCCACCATCACCACTCATTTTGCCACGTATGAATAGATGACATCAGCAGAATTTTTTTTTGTTTTCGGCTTAAAAATGTTGTATCTCCTAAATAAAAAAGCGAACTAAAAATCCGTTTTCACCATTAAATCCGTCTCGACGAAATCTTCAAAACTAGACCCCATGTTGATATATTTCGACGATTTTTTTTTGTCAGAAGTTGCCACGATGTTTACACTGCAGTTGCCATAGGGCTTAAACTAAAGTTGCCATGTGGCAATTTTAGTTTGTAGATCATGGCAATTTTAGTATTTTGATGATGGCAACTCCAGTACTTTGACCATGAAAATTATTTTTTGTATGAACCATGGCAATTTTATGTGCATGTATCATGGCAATTTTAGTTTATGGTCCATGGCAAGTATAGTTTCTTAATTCCCCGTTTTATAAATGTCAAAATTTACTTTTAAATGTAGAAGAAAATAGCTGAAACATATCATGGCAACTTCAGTGTAAACATCATGGCAATTCATATGCAATAGACATGGCAACTTTTAATCCAAAAAAATTCATCAAAACATATCAACATGGGATCTAGTTTCGAAGATCTCATCGCGAGGGATTTAATGGTGAAAACGGATTTTCAATCGGATTTTTCGTTTAAGAGATAAAACATTTTAAAAACTAAAAATCCAAAAAGATTCCTGCATGCATGCATGCGATGACGTGGCAATCTGTTTACATTAGAGACGTGTGGTGCGTCTCCCTTCCTGCCACACGTGTGGTAGTTAGCGCGACCCTTTTAAAATTACCTGCCAGCTCTTGATCCGGACGCCGTTGGTGGTGTTGGTGAGCAAGCAGGTGTCCACCCTCACGTCCTCGACCCTGTCCATGGTCCGGTTCTTGCCCAGGCTCCCAATGCTGAACAACACAACGCGCTGCGTCACTAAATTCTACATTGTGGAAAACCCCGCATTCTTATGTTTTTTATTTGGATAAAGGACCCGAAATTAAAGAGGGATTTCCGCAAAAAGAGATACAACAGAGAAACGACCCATTTGATGCTAAATTGCTAGCTGTGCATTTGAAATGTAAATAAAAAAATCATTGATAATAATAGAGCAAAAATAGATCAGTGGCATTTCATGCAAGTTTGTTTAGTAGTATGTAAAAAACCAGAAAAGTCCTCGTTGTAGGGCAGTACATAGATCAACTAGGTAACTAGCTCGGCGGAGAAGAATGCGGCGAGATCAAGGGCATCTCATCAGAAGGACAAATGGATGAACCTGGATGTTGCGGCGCTGCCTCTCGGCCTGGGATCGCTTGTCGAGGTTGGGGACCATGCTGAAGCGGCGCCGACGGTTCTTGACGAGCGTGTCGACGGCCTCCCGCCATCGGCGTTGCGCGTCCTCCACCGGATTCTTCACCAACACCTCAAAGGTCTTGAGAAAATCTATGGATTTTTTGCGTAGGTAAGACATGATTGATGATTGATCAATCTAACTGATTAATCAACTCTCCGTCCGTCTCTTTCTTCTACTTCTATGTCCCCCTCCGAGTCGAGCCTAGAAATTGGTTGAACAAAGTCTTTTTTCCATGGTATCCTATTGCCTGGATGCAAGCCTTCATTGACGTGTTATGCTTGTCACGCATAGTGGATTGGCCCATGTATATTTGATAAATACAACCTTGTTTATTTTCGGTAGGTTGTTTAATGTCCCATGTATTTCTTCTTTACACGACCGTCAAAATAATGAAAAACGACTCGCTATGTTCCTTCCTTTGAGAAGACTAAGAATCTTCTCATGGTGATTTTTGTTTTTCATTGACACGTGGACACACCCAGAGGTGCCCATATAATTTATAAAATAAATATAATTTATAATAAACTTTTGTACTTTATTATAGTTTATTTTAACGCAGTATAATATAAGTGGATATATTTCTTATTAGTTAGATTTGTTTATTCCATCAAAAAAAGTTAGCTTATGTTGACTATTGTTACTTAGTTACCTTAGTTAACCACATGACAATAATGCTACATATTAAATATAATGTTCTTTCTAATTACACTAGTTTTCGCAATTTGTAGACATTTTTCTTAACAAGTCTTGGAACCAAATCCCTCTGAAACATTGTTTCCCTAAAAATGACAAAATTGCATGTCTTTTAACAAGACCTTGAAACCAATTCCTTAAATACAAAATTGAACAAAAAAGGCAATTCCAAACTTATTTGAAATAGTTTTTGAAAAAACTAGCATATTTTTTACGTGTGCATTTGTGTATTCTTATGTGTTTTTTATCCTTCTAGATTGTTTGTTTATAAACATTCTAAAGTATATTGCTTAACAAATATCTCAATAATGGTTTCTATTCGATATTACTATATCGTGTACAAATAACTTGAAATATTAGTTGTGGAGATAGTTTTATCTAATGGTGGAGAAGTATAAAATTCCAGTGTCCTCGGCCATTGGATTTACTTCTCATTTTGACTGGACCTTGTCATGTGGCGTCTCTAGAATATTCCACAAACTAGCTTAAGCTATTTTGTCAACTATTCTCTAGAACAATCCTTTAGAGCATAGCAACATGACGCACCCATTTTGTGCTCTTGTGTAGGGATGCAAGCGAGGCGGTCTACTGGGCAACACCATAATACAAATGAAGTGTTAATTTTAAGTAACGATGAAGAAATATTAAACTAATGGATGAGTTGCACGGACGAAGCAGGTCGTAGCTTGCACCCATACTCTTGTGTGCCGAGACAAACTTCCCGCCTACACATTGCCATGGTCGGTCATCACAAAACCTCCCCAAGCAAAGTTTGCTCTGTCACTGTGGTCCAACATAAGTTCCATGAGTCGACAAAGGCACAAAACTATGACATATATAGCTTATTGCGCAAAATATGTGACACCAAACTTCAAACTTTATCCTTTCCATTTCTATTGAAACATATGTACTCCCTCTGTTTTTATTTACTCCGCATATTAGCTTTGGTCAAAGTCAAACTTTATAAACTTTGACAAAGTTTTTAGACAAAAATATTAACATATACAATAACAAATCAATCACATTAGATTCACTGTTGAATATACTTTCACATCGTATAGATTTACTATTGTAAATGTTCATACTTTTTCCTATAAGGTTGGTCAAAGTTTATGAAGTTTGACTTCAGTCAAACCTAATATGCAGAGTAAATAAAAACGGAGGGAGTACATAATAGTAGGATGTGTGGCATGCTAAATATCCAAGTATATCATTACCTGGAGTGAAAACAATCACCAAAGATTAATATTATTTATGGCAAAAGCTGAATCTGTATTTTATCCAGGATGTACATATGCCCATTTTCAATACAAATTTGTATACGACATCAGGGACACCGACAATTTTTTTCATAGTACAATCTTTGTTTTGCCCTCCAATCACCCCAAGAGCCATTTTGCTAGTATTAAAGGTGTTTCTCCTCATTTCAAAGGTAATAGACACTGAGGTGCTTTGCTTATTGTGTTTAAAGTGGCAAACTATTCTTTACAATTTTGCTAACATCAGTTCAAGATAAATTGGTTTAGTCTCTTTTGCATTTTATTTCCTTGCCAATAGTTTGCTGAAACAAGTAGAACAACAAATTACGATACAATATGGCTATGTAGATATAATTACAAAAGTCAAGATTCACAAACTTTGACCAAATTTATAGAGAAAGTCATCTATATAATGCCAAAACAAGGTTCACATTGTGGACAAGTATTCTGCCTAACATGTTCCTAATGTTGATGACGATTAAGTTGGGACATTTTTAATGTCAAAGCAACCCGTTAAAACTAACAAAATAACGTTGGTTCCTTATGCTTAACTGCCCTTATTTATGATGGGATACTTTGCAAATGTACGCTTAATCTGAAATTAGACCACTGGAAAGCCACCACAAAGTATTAGTATGTGCATGTTTTAATATAATTTTATGCCCACTAATAAGGAGCATGATAAGCTCAAATTTGTGGGTTATTCGGGTATTATTTGTGAGGTGTGCGGATATTGAAATTTTCACGTCATGTAAATCTCCACCATCGCACAAAGCACCAAAAATGACACTCACAGCATCATTAGTGATATAACCTTGTTTGTGACATGTTACGAGACTACCGCAAGGGTTGTATGTCAGAAGAAATTTTATTTTTAAAATAAAAAATGGTAGACAATATCCCTAAGCCACTCACCGCCTCTATGCGAGCAACAAATCAGTTAGTGTTGCCAAAAACCATTTGCACTATGTTTCATATTGTGAAAACAGAGCCCAATATTGTATAAATATTTACCAAGCTATATGTTGAAAACACCGGCCAAGTACGCAAACAGACGGTGGAAACATCATTCAACGACCATCACGGGTCACCCTTGGCGAGGCAGGACGCCGGGGCGACGGCTCCAACGGCCTTGCCGGACGCCCTGTAGCAGGAGGCCGTGGCCGCGCCCCCGCCCACCATGGTGAGGTTGACGTTCCTCAGCTCCAGCACCCGGCACGGCAAGGTGTCGCTGCACGCGATCTTGATCGCCTGCGCCGTCGCCGACGTGCCCCTCACGTCCACGAACTCCACCTTGCGCACCTCCACAGCCTCTGTCTGCATGCCCAAACACAAGTTTAATTCACGATTCATTACTCTGCATCATACTACGATTCAGAGACGAGACGGCGAACCCTACCTGGTTCGCGCAGGGCGTAGGCTGGTCGCAGTAGTACTGGTCGATGATGATGGGGTTGGACACGTTCTTCATCACGATGCTCTCGAACCTCAGGTCGCGGGCGGAGCCCATGCCCCCCTGAAGCAGCACAAGTTGGTTGCAATCAGAGTGTTTTTACTATAACAAGATTGTTCTCGTCTTCTAAAATTACCTGCCAGCTCTTGATCCGGACGCCGTTGGTGGTGTTGGTGAGCAAGCAGGTGTCCACCCTCACGTTCTCGACCCTGTCCGTGGTCCGGTTCTTGCCCAGGCTCCCGATGCTGACCAACACAACGTGCTGCGTCACTAAATTCTAGCAGCAGCCGGGTTCAGTGAGTAGTAAAGAGGTGTTGCACAGTAGCAGCAGTACCTGATACCGTGGCCGGGCCCGCACGAGATGTCTCTTACGCGGACGTCCGAGCAGTTGCCGACCATCGACACGCAGTCGTCCCCTGATTCACACAAAGCGATCACACTAGTGTAGATCAATCAATCATGCTAGCCTATATAACTTTGTGTGTGTGCTGCAATGAAGCGTGTGAATCTGAATTTCAGAACAGAAAATCTAATTATCGGCAGCAATGTACTAGAACCGAACTACATGCAGCGCACACATTGCTGTCAAGTTCACATCGATGTACGTCATTATTCTTCGTATCCCGGCTGCGGCTGATATCTATTTCGTCAGATTGTATGTATGTATTCGGTCAAGGTTCAACCAGCCGCCGGCTTTGACCTTATCTTTCAGAAGAAAAAGAAAATGCAAGCAACGGGTTTTCAACAAGAAAATTCCAAGCACGGATGGTGTTAAGGCGTCGCAGTCTGACTCTGACGGGGAGAGGTCAGCAGAGCATACCGCCATACAGGGCACACTTGACACTAGTGACAACGTACCCGTGGAGATGAGGTTGTCCGTGATCTGGACGCGGGAGGAGTCGTTGAGGTGGACGCCGTCGGTGTTGGGGCTGTCCGCCGGCGCCACCACCCGGAGGAAGTTGGCCTTCACGTCCGTGCACCGCGTGAAGGACAGGTGGAACTGCGGCCCGTTCTGCAGCGTCACCCCCTGCACGCTCACCCCCCTGCACTCCTCGAAATGCAACGCCTACAAGATCCCAAATCGATCAGACTAATCTCGCCGTCCGGCGCTCCTCGCCGCCGGTGAGAAACGGGGATGGTCGAGGTCCACTCACCCTAGGAGGAGGCCGCGTGTTGCAGGGCTGCGGGAAACCAAGAACATTATTCAGAGCTGAGACAGGTGAGGTGTCAGTTGGTAGTTGACTGGTAGTTACAGAGTACGCACCTGGGTCTTCTTGCGCTTGCAGGAGCGCGCCCACCACTCCTGCCCGACGCCGTCGATGGTGCCGCCGCCGCTCACGGACAGGCCGTCCACGCCGTAGATGTAGAGCCACTTCATCGGGTCCCTCCCCGCCCACTCGTCGGGGCTTGCCGGCGCCACGATCGTCCCGGCGATCTGGCCAGCGCCACCGTCAACATCAAGAAACGCACGCGAGAAACAAGGGACCGACGCACGTACCAGCAGCTTGAGCTTCTTCTTGCAGGGGCCGGAGAGCTGCACCGGCCAGATCTGGTAGGCCTTGGCGACGGGCACGGCGAGCACGGCCTGCTCCTCCGAGCCGCACGCCGCCGTCCACGCGTCCACGAACGCCTGACCGATGCATCGAAACAGAGAGCGCCGAGAGGTCAATTAACCACGGCGATCGACGCGGATCAATCTGTCAGAGAGTGTGCATATATGCGTCACCTGCGTGTCGTTGGCAATGCCGTCGCCGACGGCGCCGAAGTCGTCGAGCGTGAGTAGGACGCGGGCCTCGGCGGCGCCGGAGAACCACAAGACGGCCGCGCCGGCGAGCGCCACGAGCCCACGCAGCACGGACGCCGCCGGAGCCCTCGCCCCGGGCACCATTCCCGCGCCGAATAAATCACCTAGCTAGCTCTGCTCGGGGCGCGCACCGCCGCACCGCTGGCACCGAGCGGCATAAAGAACTGAAGACGGGAAGCGGCGAGAGGACGGACGGGGCGAGCTGATTGCTTGCACGACACCTAGCATGTGCCGCCCTTGTACCTGGCCTGCTTTTTCCCGGGAAGCAAGTGAATTCCATCCGTGATTTTGTCGGGCGATCGCGAGATTTCCGCAGGTGGCAAAGGGGTCATTTGAGTTGCCTGCGGATTGGGCAACACATTGCTGCACTTTCGTTTGATTCATGTCCATGTCTTGATCAAAATGCACTGTATATTGCTTTATGTTAATGTAGGCTAGTATAATTCGACAAGTGCTTTACTATGGGGCAAGTTATAGGATGGTATAACGAGCCATTGGAAGGGGATCGGCCGATCAGGGTAATTTTGTGCAAACGCTGCATGAATCGTCTAAGATTGATTTAGAGGGTTTTTTTTTCTCTTCTTTACTATTTTAAGTACTATAAAGACGAGGTCAAAGTTGCTCCTCTCTAGAGACAGGAATGCCTCCTCTCACTAAAAGAATAGTCGACATAAATCGATCTATAGTTTTTCTTTAAAAAGTATCAATCCGTTCCAAAATAGACGACTCAACTTTATACTAACTTTGGAACGGAGGGAGTACTATTTGAGATTGAGTCGGAGTTGCGCTTTGGTAACAACAGGGTCACTCACAGAATAATCCTCATAAATTGAATTAGAGGTTCTTTTATTTGAAAACTGATGAAGATCTGGTTGGAGTTTTGTTTTTAATCAACCATATATTTCATTAGACAATCTGTTCACAGAGATTACACATATGGTCATCATACAAGACACAAATGCTTGTCAAGCAACTTTGCATAAAGAATTCCACAAGAGGTAAAACTACTATTCCACTCTTGCAGAAACTCGTGCCTCGCCGAAACATAGTCCACAAATGTCCTCCGCCGCCACCATGTCAATGCCGGAAAAAGATAAAAACAGCCGCCATACCAAGATATAGGAGAGCACCACCGCATACAAAGATGCTTTTCGAGCCGGTGAAGTGGGTCGTCGCAAGCGACGAGACCGAGTCTTTGTGGCACGTAGGCCAGGGATCTTCCCCGTGGTCACCAGATCTCGATGCCTTCAACTTCAATCGATGTAGTCGAAGAAGAGGAACGTCACCGCCTGCCATCATCCACGCACCCAACTGCAAGAAGTAAACACAACTACAACAGCCGAACCGACCGCCACCCGCGAGAGTGCCGTGGACGAACCACCAGACATGAACCTCGTCGGGTCCAGAGATCGGCGAGACGACCGGGCCACCTGCTCCGCGACGCCACCGGTTACAGCGACGACGAGATGGAGGAAGAGCATAGATAAATTATTCCGACGCGGCGCCACCTTCTCCTTGGAAACAACGCCTCAAGGAAGCACTAGGCCAAACCTAACTACAGACATATGCTGAAGCACCAGGGTCCCCACCCCCTCCGACTGCCGGAGCGACGGACGGAGGAGGCAGGGACCGGTGGCAGTGGCTTGGAGCCCGATGTGGTTGGGGGCAGATGGATCACCCCGATCCACAGGCTGGGAGCGAGCAAAAACCGTCAGATCTGATTGGAGTTGTGTCTGGCTATCTACAGGAATGTCGTCTTTCATCCAGAGAATAATCCGCACTAATGAGACGAAAATGTGTCAATAACATGATCCTCCTAACCATCCAACCACTTGTTGCTCTTGTGGTAAGTTTTGGGTTAAACTAAGTATTATACGCACCTTAAATAGTTGTTGTTTGTGGACGTTAAATAAGTACCAAAAATCTACTTCGGTTAGTCTTAATTAATGCTCATTCTGGAATGTTAGCGTTTGGCGTGGTGCCTAGTTGTCACCTCTTTTGAATATTTTGAAGAGGTGGCTTGCCTTCAACTTTCTTTTAGTTTTTAGATTGGATGGATGAAAATCATATGTGTAAATTTTCTGTAAGACTAGATTAGATTTATGTAATAAAAATAAATGATAAAAGTCGTTTTTCAAAAGCTGTGGTTGTGTCCAAAATTATAGAAGGTCACACTATTGATGTGCTTTACTTTTACTTGAGATCTTTGATTTTTGCACATGTGCCCCTCTTTGGCACAACAATCGCAAGCACTTCCCCTAGCTCATATCATCCTCTAGTGCTCATTTCTTTAAGTGCGTGGTGAACTAAATAATAGTGCACTTCCTGACAATAGAACCCCCGGTCCATGCATCTCCAATTGAAGAGAAACAAAATAGAGATTGGTAGGCAACCTGTCGAGCGACATGTCAACCCAGTTAGCGTCAGATATGGGCTACTAAGGGTAATGAGGGTAGCACCCGATTATATGATGGAAATAGGTTGATACCTGTAAACACGAGGGTAGTACCCAAAATGTGTATTAAGCTATTTTGCGGACCCCTAACACTAGTCGTATGGGTCCCATCTAGGCATGAAAGAATTTTTTTAATAAAGAAAATATATTAATATCATGAAGATATCAATTACACCCGGCCTCTGCACCAACAAATGTCACAAAGACATTCATGATGCACACAACCTGAAAAAGCACACAAAAAAAAGGCCCGCTACAATGATTAACTCCTCTCAACCGCACCACATAAACCACCACCAAAGACAACACCTGGAAAACAAAAAAGGTCTTCAAAAGCAACGCCTTCAAGAAGGGAACAGTGCAGAAGCGCCGTCCTCGCTCGATTCAAGATCTTAGGTTTTCATCCTGGAAAAAGTCTGAGTTGTCAACACAATACCTGTAGCAAGGCAATTGTGAGGCACAACCAATGAAGATCGGGCCTTAGGTTTTCACCCAGAAAGTCAAGGCTCGGCACTCGAGGAGCACCACCAAAAGTGATATCCGCCAGTGTTCCCACCCCCACTTGCCACTGATGCTCCTGAAAGTTATCAAACACCAGGCACGGAGTAATTAAAGCTAGTTCTGACAGGAAATTTGATTGGATTAAACATGTGATGAATGAGAGAAAAATATCTAAACCATCCATGATACAACCAATAACTGGTTAAACGAAATTCACTCAAAATGATACCCTCTATGGAAATTGATCATCATAGGCATGAATTTTGAGATAATCTGCTTGTCTGGCTAGCTAGAACGGTATATAGCATGAGTGAATGACATCAATGATCTGTTAAGGGGAGTATATGCCTGAAAAGTGCATTTGAGGGAAGAGCTCCAAGTTATCAGTGAAAATACTTTTCACACCTAAAAAAGTATGCACATAAGCATATAGTTGTAGTATATACACATACGAAACTTGATTAACACACATGCTCATAAGAGGTGTAAAGAAAAAAAGACAAACACATAGATTAAATGGGCCTTTTCTTTGTTGTATTTGGACCAAAGTTTTGTCCTTATCGTGTTCCCTACAAATAATGGTATAATTTAACAAAAAATTATGGACGCTCGGAGAACATGAGTGTATATTTTCTGAAAAAAAATGTTTTTAACTTTTAAATGGTATTTAAAAAAATCAAATAACGAGCTCTATGGAGCCCGTCCTCTAAAACGTTGCATTCAGAATGTGCCCCACTAGCTGGTTAGCATGAGACCACAAACTTATGGTCCCATAGGACAGATAGACGAGCAGGTAATCATTACAAGCTGAAATGTTTTCCCCTAGTGGTGGCTAGCATTTGTCTCCTTGGGCGACTGCGATCACATTGAGTCTACCTCATTCTTCCTGCCGATCCACGACAGCGTTCCCATTCAGGTGATGCCATCTAACTCGGACGCCTTCTCAGCGACAAGCGTAGGTGCATGAAAGGGTTGTGGTGATGGCCTTGATGAATTCTTTGGCCTGTTAGACCTTGTAGAGGAGGAATTCGATGACTTAGTGATCGATGAAGATGATCCACAGATCAATGATCAAGTCTGGTAGATGGCGCTTGCGAGAGTTCACACGGCAAATACTTTCAGTCAAGCGGCTTTCTTCCATGTTACATGTGCAACATGGAACATTGCGCAGGCGGTGCGATTCAGACCTCTTGGGGCCAATCTTTTTGTGGTTCAGGCCTTGTGTTTGGGTGATTGGGGCTGATTATGAACCAGGCCCCTGGATCTTCAGGTTCTAGGCGGTCCTGCTACAACCATATGATGAATTTAGTTGTGTAGAGAATATTCAGATGGTGCATATGCATGTTTGGCTGCAAATTCACAAGTTGCCTGATGATTTCTATGAGAAGGGGGTCATGGAGAAGTTGGTCAAGAAGGCTGTCAAGGTGTTGGATATGCGCTTATCCGGCAACTCTCGTGGTGATTATGTTCGAGTAAGGGTGCAACATGATCTCCGAGAATCTTTAACAAAACATGTTGATATCATTAGAGGGAAGGAGCGCATGGTTTATGTCGGACAGAGCGCATGGTTTATGTTGTTTGATATGAGAAGCTCGCAGATTTTGCAAGGTGTGTGTAAGATTGGTCATGAGTCTAAGGAGTGTGATTGTGCTCTCATTGTTACCGGCATCTTTGTTACTTAATAATGTGAAAGCACAAGTGCTCCCTGGGTGATTTTGGTAATTAGTGTCAACATATCTCTTGTTGGACTAATGCTTTTATCTAGTGTATTTCAGACAAGTTCAACAATGGCGTGGAAAGGATAAGAGGATGTGGAACCCCTTCAAGGTGTCAAGGACAAGCATTGGCTAAAGCTCAAGACTCTTCATTTCATTTTTTAGTGATCCAAGATAACATTGAGTCCATAGGGAAGCCAATAATATTAAAAGGGGATGAGGTGTTCCTCAATGGCTTGCTTGCTCAAAGTGATTAGTGATATTGCTCCGAAGCCCTCAACCACTTTCTCATTCCAAATATGTCCAAAACCCAAAGTCAAACTCAGCCCCACCGATTCATGCTATCTGGAGCCACCGAGTTCATACGACATAGCCACTGCCAGAAACCCTAAAAGTTCGGTCACATCGATGCG